AACAAGGATTATTCAAAAACAATAAAATTACCAATTCCATCCTCTTCTTCCTCTTCTTCTTCTCCTTCCTCATTATCAAGCGATGAAAAGCCCAAATCATCAGTAAAAGCAAATTCTGTTTTACAAACAAAAATTATTGAAACAGATGCCGATGAACGTCGCCGTCGTTCAAAAGAATCGAAAGAACGTTCAAAACGTCTTTATGAACAGTTGTCCGAAGTACAAGAAAAGAAAAAATTCAATGAAACTCGTCAACAAGCACAAACCTATCGTCAACGAATGAATGAATTTCAACAAACTGTTTTGAAAAAGAAAACAACTAATGGTGGTATTAATAAAAAAAAATGACTCGATTAAATTTGCTTAAGCATTTCATTGATTTAAATAAAAATGTCTGATATATGTTTATTGTGGTTGATTTTCGTCTTTTTCTACTTTCTACGTCGATTACAGATTAGAACAATTCTGTATACGTATTTTTTGTAAATGTTTGTTTTACGTATATGCTTATTGTTAGTGTGTTTGTTTGTTTTATCTGCCTATAATAGTGTTACTGATATTTAGTTTCAAATATAGTCTGATTATGAAAATTATTTATTACCATCAAAGGTTTTCCCTAATTGTAACTTCTACTAATATTTATATCTCTCTAGTAGTTTGAAAAACAAATAAACATTAGATATTTCATGCTCACAAATCTGTAAATTCTGTAAGATATCAGTTCAGTTTCTCCTCCTATTGAAAGAAAATCCATGACCCATGAAAAAATCGACTATAATACACTAAGATAAAAAGTCACAGAAGCTAAAGAAAATGAAACCTTTTGCCGACATAATCAGACACATACACACAAATAGAACAAAAAATAAATATATGAATATGGAAAAATGCTAATAATTTAGATGACCCAAACCATTTTATAATGCGGAAGAGAAAAAGTTATTATAAGAGGCTCAGATAGTATCAGGTTGATTCATAATTAATTGCAGATTAAATTTCAGATAAAATCGACCACTTTTATTCGTTGTTTTTGAGGTTCTAAGGGTTCTTTTTAAGGTCAATCGATAGAGAATTGAATTTTCTACAAAACCTGTAATTTTAATCTCTGACAGCGTTTTTTCCGTTTGAGCGCCATTCAATATTTCGAATGGTGCTGAGTTGTCGAACTGCGACACACTGAAAATAGAAAAATATTTGCCTTGATCCAAAAACAGATTTCATAAGAATTTTGAAAACATCAGAAGATTCACAAGAAAATTTTGCATGTTTTCACGTATTTTTCGAAATTTTTGCAGCTCACTTTTCTAAGAAAATATCTCTATGCAAAAACCTGATAAATCTAAAACAGCCTAACTTCTGAACCTATTCTCACAGACTTTAATTTTTTGGTTAGAAAAGCAGTAAAACGTTTTGAATCCAGGGTTTTAGCCTTGCCATCTTACACAGAATTAAATTCGGCATTTTTTGATATATAAAGAAAGTTTCTCAGTTCAAATCATTAATTAAAACAATGAATTTAATTTGAAAAAATTGAAAAGCCGATTGAGAACTAATTTTGACTTCAGCTGACGTAGCGAAAACATTGTATGAAGTTGTATATCAGTGAGATCGATAGAGCACAAAATGCTCTATCTTTCTACCTAGAAAAATTAACTATTGAACCTCAGATAATGGGATAAAAATCTCAAAGAAGAAGACGTCAAAAGCACGTCGCAGTTCGACAACTCAGCACCATTCGAAATATTGAATGGTGCTCAAACGGAAAAAACGCTGTCAGAGATTAAAATTACAGGTTTTGTAGAAAATTCAATTCTCTATCGATTGACCTTAAAAAGAACCCTTAGAACCTCAAAAACAACGAACAAAAGTGGCCGGTTTTATCTGAAATTTAATCTGCAATTAATTATGAATCAACCTGATAAGAGGTTCCGATCTCGTGACATTTTTCCAAAAAAGGAGAATTTACTGTTTCATATTCCGTAAATGGGACTGCAAGCGAACGAGAATGGTATGCTCTAAGAGGTGGACATCTTGATATCAGAGTTTAGTGTAGGTAGTAGAGCTTAATAACGATAAATTGTTAATTATGCCATAGTAACTGACTAACCGAAAATAGCAACGTCTGATTCTTAGGTCAAGTGTACCTAAATCTTCAATAATTGCTCAGTTGTAATGAATGTAATCGAAATCTCGCTTTATTATTCTATTTTCTAGACATTGGAGCGACTCTCGAAATACTCGGTCAATATCACAGATTATTTGGCAACATGACATCACAACTTCGTTTATCTGAGTAATCAATCCACGTAAGATCATGGAATAGTCGAACACCTAATAATTGTAGTATGGTTCGAACAAGAGTGGTTTATTATAAAAGAATCTTAAAGAATTTAGAAAATTCAAGGAATCAAAAAACCAAATATAGACTCAAATTTGTTCTTATTTTCTTTAACTTTTCATAGAAATTTTTCTAAATCGGGTTTGCATTTTTTTTTCTCTAGCATCCAGTTACGTTGAAAATTTTTATTTTACATATATGTTAAAGCTAATTCGCTGATAAACAAAAATTCTGCAAGAAGTAAATCTTAGTTCTTAATGGCTAAGAAGAAAAAAATACCGTGTCAAAATTGACTAACGCTTAGTATTTCCATTTTTTCTCATGAAGTAACAAGAATTAGATAAAAATAAGAAAGCCGAAAGATGCGCCATAAAATTATGTACAAAACCATATATTTGATTTTTTGGTTTCTTGAAATTTTTAAATCCGGCAAGGTCCTTTCCAGTAAAAGAGCAGGTGAAAGTTTTGGATCTAGCGTAAAATAGATAGATCCATGAACATTTTATCAACATATATTTATTATCACTTCACTGAACTATTTTTGACGATTTCATTTTGAACTAAGATTTGTATAGATGGTAACGTTTCTGCTTTTTAAAAAAGGAACTACAACAAATAGATTATCAGTACATGGATATATTTGATGACAGATTTACTAGATCATTGATAAATATGAGAAAGAGTAGAGGAGATAAAATAACATTTTGGAAGTACACTGTTAAATCCAAATATTCGTCACCAATTTTTTTATAAATTGTAAGCATTTCACAAATATGAGTCAAACCATTCATAAACCTTTCCCGCAATTCCTATTGGTTTCAATTTTATTAATAACATAACTCTAGGAACTCGATCAAATGTTATTGATAGATCAAAACTCAAATTCACACAATATTCTATATTTTTTTTTGTTTTATTAATATTATATTATAAATAGTGAGTAACTCTTAATAAAGTATTGACGATAGCTGATGACGGACGATCGTACTGATTTCCATTTAGTAGATTATTTGATAATAAGAAGTGAAATAACTGTTTTTTGAATGAATTTTTCTGATGTTTTGCTAGTAACACATGAAAGGGAAACGGATACATAATTTTCGATTAAAGACGTATTTTCTTTGTTTGTAAATAGGCGTTTCACTCGGTATTTTCCATTGACTTAGAAAAAAAATATATCTGTTTTTATAATTCACCGATGTGGAATAAATGTTTAACTACAATACAACTGAATAAATTATAATGAAATACCGTCCGAACCTACCCTATCTGTTTTTTTCATTGAATCAACGACTTTAACAACATCTGTAACTATAATGGCTATATCTATAAATTTTTGTTCATTAGAAATTGAGGAAGATGTGTAATAGGGGTAAATGGTTGTAGCTGAATAACACGAATTGAAATAGCGCATTATCCTAATACATATCATAGGATTCCTTAACGGAAGAAAACATATAATTAGTTTTGTTAGTTTCGTGCATGGGCAACGAAATCCGTTAAAAGCGAAACCTTTTTAAAGGCGACCGAAATTTAGCTATATTAGGAAACGGTAAAGTTCTAAGTTAGCTAAATGTTCCTTTTTACCTAGGTTAAGCTAGTTTCAAAAAAGTTTCTTTAGATTGGGTATATAGTATTGGCTTAATCACAGTTGAGTATAACAACAACAACAACCAAAAAAATGACTGTTTTACTATTTCTTTTTAAGTTATGACTTCAACAAGCGCGCAGTTGTTCTCACATGTTGTTCATTAAATTTGAAAGGGACTCTTAGTATGTGTTGTCAACAAGAAATTTCTTTTATGTTCTATGTATATTTCATCGTATACGAATCCTCTTTTTCTTTTCTCGTCTTTGTTAAACGATGCTAAGAAGAGAAATCGTTTGTTTGCTTGTTGCTATTGATGTTGTTTATAATATTCATGGAGTTGACCTAGTCAAAGATTTTCATTTAACTTTTTGTCAGTATTATTGTCAATTTAACATCTAGGACATTAAATAAACTTGATTTGATTTGATTTAATATTGATTTTGTTTCGATTTTGGTCTTTGTAAAATAAAACATGGTAGATGACTCATAAAATTATTACGTAACATTTTTGATAGTTCATTGCGAGCTTGTTTTCCAGCGATGATACTGATAGAAACGTTAAATGCATAATTACAGAGTTCTAAGGTTTTTAATAAATGGATTAATAAATGAATACACGGTAAATGAGGATTTTTAATATTTAAATAGAATTGTAACAGATACCTGAATAGAGAAGAGTGAACAGATATAGTTAAATAGTACAGATAACTCACCTTGGTGAAACAGTTAGAATTAATACTAATGATGAAAAAAATATCATTGGTGTTACTCGTCTAACTCTACCATGTTTGATTAATTCAAGTGAAGTTTTTTTTGAGTTTGATATAGTCGTTGACGTAAGGGTTGCATAGTTTGAATGAACGTGCTTTCTTATCACTGATTGTTTAGTGTTCATAACGATTAATGGAGATTGTTTTGTTTTCGATGATGTAAATGAATAACGATTAAAAGTGTGCGTTGTTCGATATTTTCTTAAACATATGAATAGAACAATATTCGCCACTAACAGAAGAATAAACGGAATTACAGTACGGAAAATAACAGTGGACAATGTATAATAAAATTTGATTTGACCAGTTATAATCGAACTATTACTATCAACCAAATCATCAGTTCCATAAAGACAAAAAATAGTAATTGTCCGGTTATTGAACAATCTAGAAAAGACCGATAGGTTCAGTATTTAAGATAGAGCCGGAGAATACAACAGGTGTTTCCGATTAAATGACACTCCCCGGCTTTTCTTTCTAACGTTTTTTTAGTTCAACTCTAGAAACTATTTTTTGTTTCAAAGGATACGCCGTGAAATTCTCTACAAGAATCAATCAAAAGTTTCGTTTACGATGTGGACGTGAAAAAATGTATAAAATATTCTAAAAGGCACCAAAGTCCCAAACTTCTCAGTTTAAAAAACGATGTTGGTCTTCTTTGAGGTTGAACAGAATCAAATTAGTCATATTGTAACTCGTGAAAAACGCTATCTTTTAGTTCAAATCTTTTTAGATCAAAACCTATGGCACACAAAAACCGTTCTGTGTTCTTGAACCACTTTTTTTCTTACGATTTTTACTGTGCTGAATTTAGATATTTAGAGCTTCCAGTAAAATGTGTAGAATTTGGTCAAAAACGAAGCTTTTGACATCGGCTTTGTTTTATTTTGATCAGAAATGATTGCTCTACTCCGTTTAATGTTTGAAAGTTGAGTCAGATTATTATTTGTTACACAGTGTAGGAAGGATAGTTAGATATGACGCTCTTGGATCGGTTATCAAAGAACTAAGTTATGTGTTATATAATCTGATATAGACAAACTCTCGTATACACTACGAGAAAGAGCACACTCGAAAGTACAAAGAAAGAAGCTCTGACAGGTTTTAATGAACTTAAAACCAAGAGAAAAAGATTTATATGTATAAAAAACAGTTATGAAGTTTGCCATTTTGTTGCCATTTGTTTCAGAGTATTTCATATGCTTTTTCATATACACATAACGAAACTTTTGATTAGTTCTTGTAAAGAATTTCACAGCATAGTAGCTGTTTGAAAAAAAACAGCTACTAAAAGTTGAATTAAAAAACGTTAGAAAGAAAAGTCTGGAAGTGCCATTTAAGCTGGAACACCCGATAGTAGACAAAGACTAATTTGAAAATTTTATTTTCGTTCATTTATCTTACCTTTCTCTATAATATCCGGGCATTAAAAAAAGTAAATTAACAAAAAGACTAAACGATATAATAGCAATAATACAAATAATTGCTCGTTTCCGTTGTTGCTGTCGACATTTCGTCGTTTTAAATATCACTACACATCGCTCAAATGTCAATGCTGCTGTAATCCAAACACTTACGCCACTTGTCACTGATTCTATAAACATTTGTGCTGAACATTCAAATTGTTTAAATGCCATTTTTAGCAATTTAAAATCAATAAATAAAAATA